TTATCTGTCTTTCTGGCAAGCGCACATGCCCTATAGCAAAAACCTCTCCAAAAAAAATTATTTGTTAATTTTTTAACTTTCTGTTCATTTGGCCAGGGAGGGGGTAGTAAGAGAGCAAGCCACCAGGTCTGGGACTCAAACCATGGTCAGCCATGTAGGAGTCTAGCACCTTAACGACTGTACCACTTGCTGGCCCCATGCCTTGTTTATTTTGAAGCACCCCTTTTAGAAACCCTCTCTCCCCCATGAGAATGCTAATAATCTATACTGGGAAAGTTTTCCCTCTAGAGAAGTGTTGTATATGTGTCAAGACTGTTCACGGGCATTTTTTTAAGAGAGATTTTTGCTATAGGGTGCATGCGCTCACTGGAGGGACAGAATCAGAGAGACAGAAAGTGAGAAATCACACCCCAATCCTGACTCCTACATTCTGCTCTTAGGATCTTGGACATGTACACACATGTGAGTTCTGAGTTGTTGGGTCCAGGACTTGAACCATGGTTGATTATGTGTTTTGTTTGTTTGTTTTGTTTTTTAATTTTGCTACAGGGCATGTGTGCTCAATGTAAGGTGGGGTGAACAAGAAAGCAAGTCACCAGGTCGGGACTTGAACCATGTAGTCAGCCATGTGGGATTCAGCTGCCTTTTCCATCACACACCATGTGCTGGCCCTATGAACATTTTTTATATCATCTTTAATGTCCTTGTTAGATAATTTCAAAATCTATGTCATTTCAGCATGATGTTTGTTGTCTTCTCCTTGTTCTTCATATGCTAAGTAATTTTGGATTGTGTCCTGGACATTTTTAATGTGATTTTATTTGACTCCAGGTCTTGTTTTAAATCTGCCAATTTGGTGGTACTTCAAATTCTGGCTCCCCCAATACGCCTGTTCTTGTTTACTTTTTAGAGTCCTTAAATAACTGTGCCTCCGTTCTGTCCAGGTTTATTGCTGTGGCTCGTAGGAAAGACAGGGTGGAATGTGCTTAACTCCATTTATCTAGAACCTTCCCTCCAAAAAGGGTTTCAGATTTGCTTTATCCAAACAGTAGCTCCTGGGTAATTTCTATATTGATGTCTTGAGATTTGAATCGCAACTTTAAATCTCACACCTAAGTTAGATGTAGACCTTAATCTGAATTCTGAGGTGAGACTTTATTTCTTCACAAAGACCAGCAGAAGGAAATAAAATTCCTTGCTGTTTCCTATGCTGGTAGGCAGACTTTTTTTTTTCTAGTCTTTTTTTCCCTCCCAAGATAGAGTCTCATGTATTGTGATTTTCCTCCCTGATTTTTCTATGTAGCTGGGACTACTGGTATGCTCGCCATTGTGCCCAGCCTTTAGAGTGCACCAGGAGTCAAACCCAACCTACCATGTGAGCTCAGCCTGCCAAGTAACAGTGTCAGCTAGTGCTCACTACCTTGGTTGGGCCTAGTCTGTTCTTTCAGAAAGAATTTTAGCTTGGAACCAGCAGATGGCATAATGCTTATATCACTAGGCTCCCATGTAGTCAACCAGTTCAAGTCCCTGACCCGGCGGCTTAAAACTCATGCCAGGTGCATGTGTGTGCGTGCCCAAAAATCTCAAGAGGAGAATGGAGGAGAAGGGATTGTGATGTGGCCATCCCCCCTGGGGGGTGACTTCTTACTTTTTGTTTCTGTGTCTCTGGCGAGTGCACACACCCTATAGCAAAGATCTCTCCCAAAAAGAAAAAAGAATTTTAGTTTTATGCAAGGGGGTGAGTTTTATTCTTGGTTTCAACTCCCTTTCTTTGATGGGTCCCACAGAAATATTGTAAATCTTCACTTCAGTCTCTCCAGGACAACTGTTCCTCTGATTCACTTAGTGTTCTTTGTCCTTCTTTGTTTCTGACACATGGGTTTCCCGTCTGTCTTTTAAATATGGCTGTTTATTAAATTTTTTATATTTTTTCTAGCTCTTTATAGGGATTTATAGCAGAAACGTTTTAAGGATTTTTTTAAAAGTATTATTCTTATTGAACTTTATTTTAGAGGAACTGAGTGAGAGAGGGAAAGTGAGATATCAAGCTTCTGGGTCTGAGACTCAAACCTTGGTCGACCATGTGGGAGTCCAGCACCCTTAACCACCATGCCATCTGCTGGCTACAAAGATTTTTTTTTTTTGTAATCAATATATTGCTGAAACAAAAACTTTTGACAGAATTTTTTTTTTTTTAAGACAGATTTTGCTGTAAGGCGCATGTGCTCACTGGAGAGACAGGGAGACAAAAATCTCTCTCCAAATATCAACTGACAAGGACTTCATGGTGTCATGACAGTAAAACATGACACTCCATGAGACTGATCTATTGTGGAAAGGTTCCAGGTTCGTGTCTGGAGACCCTCCTGAGCATGGCAATAACGGCCATGCCCATGATCTGGGACTGACCAAGACTGGGAATAGAATGAGCCATTGAGACCCTATCAGAGGTGTTCAGCCACTCGTTTTCTCTCTCTCATCCATGAAAGAAAGTAATCAGTAATCTTAAAAAAGTACAAGGGTTGGCCCCGTAGTTCAGCAGTTAGCGCTATGCATAGGGATTCAGATCTCATGTGGCTGAGTGCAGTTTGAATCCCAGCCCTAGCAGCTTGAAAATATGCTGGGTATTTGTATGTGCATGCCCCAAAGCCTGCCAAGACGGAGAACTGCAGGAAAGGGGATTGCGGTGTGACCTTACCTCATTGTGGGATATTTATCTCTTTCTTTCCCTCTCTTCCCCAACTCTAGGAAGTACTCACACCCCCTGGCAAACAAAAATGAAAACAAACAAAAAACTATTTCATTTGGAAAAACTGTTCTCTGTACAGTGAAATTAATACTGGTTTCAAACTATATGGAAAGGGCAATTTAAAATTTTAAGAACGAAAATAAAATCACTGCTCTAAATAATCAAAGAGAATTGAAGCTTCTGTGGTTACTTTTTTCTTTGGTTTGTTGAATTCTTGGCTTCAAGTATAAAATCTTAATAGGAATTCCAGTCAGTAAAAAGTTTTCCTTTCACTTACAGTGGTTTCTTGTCAGAAACATGTTCTCCCCTTCTTTCTTGCCAGGAATGAGTAGTGACAGTGACATCGAATGTGACACTGAGAATGAGGAGCAGGAAGTGCACACCGGCATGGGCGGATTCAGTGACTCTTTCCTGGCCCAGCCCCCCAGCGAAGGTGCAGCACGTGATGTCACTTTACACAGATTAGTTCATAAAGCCGTTACCGCTGTTTTCTCTTCTTTCCCTCCTGCTGCTGCCGCTGCCGCTTCTCCTTCTGCTCTGCTGCTTCTGCTTTTTCTGCTTCTGCTTCTTTTTTTTTTTTAAATTACTGTCATCTTTGAAACAACGTTCTTTGGTAAACCGTATGGTGAGTACTGAGGGAATTTGGTAGGTGATGTTTGACTTGATTGGACACCCAGCAAGTGCTACTTACTGAGGGTAGGCGGGGTGCATAGCGTACTGTGGACAGCCCGCGATCTGAAAATGGCCTCGACATTGTCAAGCACTCTCAGTTACAAACAAAAAAGAATCTCCAACAGAGACCCTGTGTGGCCTGCAGTGCCTGGGTATTTATTGCCTGCTCTTTTTTTTTTTTTTTTTTTTTTGGGGGGGTTTTTTTCTTAAGGGCCCGGGGCCCGCCCCGGCCAGGGAGAC